TCGAACATAAAGTACTTATCATATTTCCCATCTACTTTTTTCATTAGTCCCACACAAGGCAGCTCATGCTTGAATTAATTTCACTTCCTTCAAGTCGTTAACCAGTTGAATGAGCTTTGCTAATGGCCAACAGCTGTTTGGGCCATATATGTGCATAGATTTAAATGCGACTCGTTTAGTGAGTCACCCTGATGCGTACAGCTGCAGTCCATTAAATGGCATGCCAAATCTTTGGCCACAAGTAACAACAGCTCAATTGCCAGCCACGTGTTGCATGTAGCACGAAATTGTTGTTAATAATATTTATGTTGTGCGCGAAGGCCTCAACACCTCCAGCCAGCGAGCTCCGATTGCGCACTTTATGGCCAGCGACTGGCCGCAAATGCGAGCTACTTAAAGTCGGCTCATATATCAGCTGGCTCTTTTATGGCCGCACTGCGTTGTATTTCAAGCGCGAGCTGGCTGGCCACCTGTTCGGCAGGCGCTCAAGTCGTTGTCACGTCTCCTCAGCCACGGCTGTTCATCATCATGTGTGTCCATATGAAGCGAACTTGCAACATGAACTGAACTTTGACTCGTTAATGCTAGTTTTCGTTTGAATTTTGTGCATATTTAAAATGTTAACTCGTTTCGCTTATTGGCCGCAACAACGCACTTAATGAGCTCTGCCCACTGGGCACGATATTTTCGCGTGTCTTATTTATAGACAGCGCTGGGGAGCAGCTAAATTATTGGCCACATTATGTTGATAATCGTTGCTTAGAACAGCAGCAATAGGTAGGAACTGCAGCAGCAACTGTTGCTCTGGCGCCAGGCAATTTTCTGTTGCAGCTGCACGAAGACAGCGACGACGACGACGATGTTGCAGACGACACAAAGTCTGCGATTTTTATCTGTGAGGCAAGCAGCTTATCGTGCGTGTTGCTACCAGTTGTCGACGTTGTTGTTGTCATTGTTGTTGTTGTTGCTGCTGCTGTTGCTCTGTAGGCTGCTGCCTACAAATTGTGCCCTGTCATGTGCAACTGCATTTGCATTTCATTTGCCACAACGACCGAGTCCTGCTTGCAATTTTACCTTGCCTCATTGAAAATTATCTTATTTGGCAGCAATTTGAGCCATTTAAATTTCATTTACATTTGAATATGTTGCTAGAGCTTTACATATGAGTTGACTGAAATTAATCTATAATTTATGTTCAATAAGGTCCCTAATATTCATAATTATTTCAATTAATTGAATTGTTAAAATTTAAATAATTAATAGCGAAAATAATTGAGATTAAAATAAAATAAATAAATATAATTAATAAAAAAAATCGTATTAAAAATGCAAATATGTAAATTGCATTGTTATGTATTTTTTAAAAATTTTTTCTATTATAAAGAAGTTTTTATAGAAATTTTATTGATTTATTTATTATGACATAGAATTAATATAAAATTAATTGAACTTTCTAGTTAGCTTTAATTGTAATCTCAAGTAAAAAAAATAAATAATTAAATAAATTATCGGTACAAAGTTCTTTATAGCAGAACTCTCATCAAGCCGTTGCTCAGTTGGCAATTTTTTGTTTGTTTTGAAGTTAGTTTCAATTTTACATTAATTTTAAATAAATAATTAAATTATTGATGCAAACTTCTTTATGATAGAGCTCCGCAAACACAGACCAAATTTGTCATCATATTATTTTTCGTGTGTCATGTCCCAAGTTGCATTAAGACGACGGCAATTGTTTATTGTTCCCCTTGTTGTTTTTATTTGGGCAGGTTAACAACTTAATAATTTATTTGTGCCGCTGCTGCCTGCTCCATGTGTCAGTGAGGTCTGTCGGCCCCTACCGGGCTTTTGGAACTGGAGGCTCTTTAATTATTTGCATACATCATCCAAGTGATTTGCATGCGTGGCAACTGCGAATGTCTTCGCGTGGCGTCGTGTCTGCGGCGCATAAACATGTCATATTATTTTTACTGTCTGCTAAAAGCCATGGCCAGAGCCAGTGAGCCGTGGCCATGGTCCGCACATGATACTCGACTCATTTTTTTCCCCTCTCGTCTGATGATGCGTCATAAAAGAACAACAGGAAGAAGCAGCGAAAGCGAGTGGCACAGTAATATTTGAATAGATGGCACGAGAGGAGGTGGTGGGGGATGCAGGAGTTGGGGCAGGAGTTGGGGCATGGCGTCAGCTTATCAATGCAAAACAGACGCTAGGCATTAGCTGGCGCTGGCTTTCAGCTTTTACTTCATATTCTAAAATCACGAAACGCCATTTCGCATTTGCCTCCCATCTGGTGCATTGTCCACAACGCGTTGAAGCAACCCTTGAGGGATTAAATTTCAACAGCTTTGCCGCGCGCGTTGCGCATTCTTGGCCAGCACTTTAGCTAGCTTCAATGCAGCAGCACCCAACTACCCAACCACCCAACCACCGTTCCAGCACTGGCCAGACAACCACTTTAAACGCTGCTGCAGCAGCAGCTTTTCCACTGCCGACTTTTCAGCGCTCTTTCAACTGTCTGTCCATCCTGCTGTCTGTCCCTGTGTCTGGGATTGGAAATGGGTCTGGCATTCAGTTAATGAATGTAATCGCCATAAGCTGCCTTGTTTCCCCCCGCAGGGGATGAGGGGGCGGCGTAGACAAGTATTTGCCAAGCGCTTCTAATGAGAGCTGGCCGTCTACAAAATATTTCCTTGTAATTGGGTTCCTGAAATTTGTTTTCCCTCAGCTGCGGGAATTATAAAAGCATGTAATATGCATTTATTATTTAAAACACTTTTACGGCAGCTAATGAAATGAAACTGCGTTGGTTTATAGAAAATGCTTTTGCCGAGGGTGAGATTATGGCCAAAGAATTTTCGCTGCTGACTTTGAAGTGGCGTTAAGGGGGAAACGAAATTAATAGTGCTTATAAAAGCAGAAGCTCTAACTAAAATTCTGGGAAATTTGATTAAAAATCTTCACTTGAAATGAAAGCTCACAAGTTTTTATGATTACAAAATAATTATATCTGCTAATTTGTGATCAACAATAATTAACTTTGCTCGCGGCAAATGCTTGTAAATTTTGATGAGTTATTTAGGATATTAATTAAATAAATAATTTCAACTTTAAATGTTAAATTAATAAAAATTTGTCAGAATTATTTTAGTTACATTCTCAGAATTTTATTTGAAAATATTATTATATAAACAAATAAATTAAATTTTAAATAAAACTATTTATTTTAAATGTTAAATATTGTTTTTTTTTTTTTTTTTTCTAGAATATACAATAAAATTTTTTTTAAAACTTTAAATTCAAATTGTCAAATTTCTTAGTAATTATTTGGAATATTTTTTTCAATATTGCAGTAAACAAAAATGCCATATGTCTTTAAGTATTATTTTTTAATTATTATTTTTTATTAAAAAATAAATTGTACTTAGGAAATCTGACTCAACAAGAGTGATACTATTTCCGATAACTATATTTCAGCAGCTGTTGTAATTATTATCGGAAGCTAGTCATCTGAGAAATTCAATTAGACTTGCATATTATTTGCTTAAACTCATTAAAAGCAAAAATACTCATTTATTGATTATTTATTCATATATTGTATAGTATATATTGAAGCAGTCTCTACTCAATGTCGGTCTGTAGATAATTGTAAATGAAACATAATTTTTACCTCATTCAACTTCAGCTAATTTTACATTTACATGTTGATGCAGAAATATTTGAGCCTGAATTGAGAGTTTTATCAATAGGAGAAGAAGTAAATTTTTATAAAAATAAATATTTATAAATGCTTAAGCTAGCTTGCAAATAATAATTTAAGGATTTTAAAGTTTTGCGACTTGAGTGAGTTTTCCCAAAGTGTCAAATGCCAGGCGAGAGTTAATTGTGAAGGCAAACGCAGATGCGACAAAGGCAAACAGAAGAGCGACGAATGGCAAATAGAATAAAATAAAATAATCAACAAACAAGATGCAACAAATGAGGTAATGAGTATACGCCAGGTCTGACAAAACAAGATACAGCCGTCACCCGTTAGGGTGGCATCAGGAAAGTGAAAAGCATCCAAATGCTTCAGGCGATAGGGTGAGGGGGTGAGTGAGTGTGCTGCAGAAAGGGTCGCCTGGCAGACACTTGAGCAGCCGGACAGTGTGGGCTTGGGCTCGGGCTCCGGTTCGTTCTCGTGTCGCAGGAAGCTAAAATAATTGTGAGAGCTGATGTCACGCCGTGCCTCAGAGGGCGGGGCCAGCGTTTCAATGCCAAATAGGCCGCGGGGCAGCACGGCTCGGTAATGGACAACAATGACGAGAGCAAAGCAGGCGGCAGGGCTCATTACCTAGGCGCAGGAAGAGGAAACGAGTGCTGTAGCTAAAACAATTTTAATGCTAATGAATTGAAATTGTTGAGCAGCAGGCCGTGCAACGCCTAGCGTATACGCAATGTAATTGTAAACGAATATAAATTGAGCCCAAATGCTGCCGTTGCTGCTGTGGTTGTTGTAGCTGCTATGGTTGTTGCTGCATGCCAATGTCAAGTGCAAATGTTGCAGCCGCCGCAACAATAATCTCTCATTGCTGCTATCGGAAAATACAAATGAGGTTTTGTACTCTTGTAACATTTTGGAGGGCATTTGATGGGAATGAAATTGGAGTTGGAAGTGGAATTGTAATGGAATTGGAACTGTGTTTTCTGCCCGGCGGGCATGTAATTCATTTTGTGTGTATGCCACAGTCCTTGACTATGACACGAGCTGAAAAACTATTAAATATATATTTTATATAAATACATACATACATATGTACATAGAGTCTGTTGTAAAAAAAAAAAAGGAGCGCTGCCGCAGGCGTGACTAAAGTCCGCCGCATGACACTTCATAAAAAAGTCGTAACATTTTACGACTCTCACAATACTCCATTGCATTTCCTTGCCTTTTATTATATATTTTTTATTCGGCTTTGGCTTTGGCTCGTCACTGATGTCATCCTTTTGTATTCCCTTCTCGGCAGACGGAACTCTCACACAATCTGCAACAATTGTCGGAGAAGGCACGTTCCACAACCGAATTCATACAGCGGCTCAAAGGCATGAGCGACAAAGTAACCGTAAGTTGAGAACGTGAACATTTTCCAGCAGCAAATTGTTGATTTTAATTACTTGCGCACAGGAATCCTGCATTGAGTTCGAGCGTCTTGTGCACGCCCAGTGCGAGGCGCTCATTCAGGCCATACACGACCGACGCGAATATCTGCTCGAGGCGATTCGCATGGACAAGGATACCAAAATCAGAATACTAAAGGTGAGTAGCTGCTGCTGCTGCTCCATGCTGCTGCGGTTGAATGCAATCTCTACCTTCATTTCGACTTTCTCCCAACAGGATCAGCAATCGAATTGCACGGGTAAACTGCAGCAGACAACGGGACTCATTCAGTTCTGCATTGAGGCATTGAAGGAGACGGATAGCGCTGCCTTCTTGCAGGTGAGTTAAGCTAAAAGAAATATGAAATGAATTATTATATATTTAAATGCATGTATATACATTTATATGTACTCACACAGGTCGGCTCCATGTTAATCAATCGCGTGGCCAACACAGACATGACCTGGCACCAGGAGGTCACAAATGCTGCGCCTCGCGTCTCGCCCATTGTTGACTTGACTCTGGACGATGTTGCCGTCGCACGAGCCATAGACAATTTGAACTTTATACAAATGAAAGGTGCGTAAAGTCCAATAACTTAGATATTTTAATTAGTTTCGCAAGTATATAATCCAAGAGTTCATACTAATCAGTTTAGCTATGAGCTAGTTAGTTTTTGCCAAAGTGTATTACTAATTTAATATTTGCTGTAGAAATTCAAGCTAAAACTCACTACACAAACAACAATATATAGCAATCATTATATAAGGAATGTAAATGTAGTAAATAATGTCCATTGACATTAAGAGAAAATGGAAATATATTTTAGCTGAGCCTTAATGAGTGAGAGAGAGTGAGAGATCTAAGTGCAAATTATGGAACTAGTGTGAATATATTTAAACCAAAACTTAATGAGCAGAAAGATCTAAGAGCAAATTAAAGAATCATTCTAGACTTTGTGTGTTGCTGGTTAATTGACATGAATATATTAAAAAATTATATATATAAATAGACAGCCCAAAATACCCTTAAAGCTTAAACATATTTAAACAATTCACAAAACATACATTTGACTATAATGCTCAACAGTATATAATGAAATATTCTTTGAAGAGCTTAAAAAATATTTTAGCAATTTAAATATCGCTTACACATTTTATAATACAAAATAATATATTAAAAATATTATTTGAAAAGTTTAAAAATTTTATTAAACTAATATTAAATTATTTGTATAAAATCAAGAATTTATTTGAGCATATTTGAAGTTTTAATAGCCTATCTTATATATAAAGCAATCAGACTATTGAATTCTTAAGGAAGTTTCAATTGGAGGGTATATTATTTAAAATAAATATTTGTAATACATTTTAAATATTTTTTGTATCATATAAGTATCAGTAGGAGTTTCTGCAACTGCAATTGGCAAGCGAATGAACAAAACATAAGCATAATAAAAATGTAGTAAATTTTAGTCGCCTCGAACTTAAATATTAGTTTATTATCTTCTAGCTTGCCTAGTTTCTTCCAGAAATAATAATTTGTATCTGCCGCACAATTTAGCTATCGATGAATGCTTCGCCCTGGCTATTAAAGAAACTTTTATACAAATGCCCAACAGAACTTCTGGCTTATCTCGCGCACAAATTTTTATTTCTATTAAAGAAGAAATCGCTACTAAAAAGATAAGAAGACAATTAAAAACTTAAAGCCCGCAAGCAATTTATTCCTTAATTTTCTTTGTATTATATAAAGTTTTAAAATTTCAATCAGCTCATTCCCAAGCAATTTTCAAGCCAGAATAATATTCGACTGTAGCAAGCTTTAAAGTCAGCTCTTTAAAATTTTTAGCTCCATTTTCAAAGAGCCCAATAACAATTCATTTCGCCCCCCTTTTAGCGTAAATTTGTGTAACCAAATTATGTAGGCAGCTCGTAACATAAATATTGGAACTAATTGTCACAGGCTAAGGTAAAATTGTATCACACAATGTCAATAAACACTCACACCTAACAGCACACAATATGCACTCAACTCGCACACACTCGCACACACCACTCCACACATGCACACACACTTGAAAGTGTTGAAACAATAGCGCGAGCTCATTAAGTGCCATTGGAAAGTGCGCTCCAGAGACGCAAGCAGTAAAAATAGTTGAGATAGTTAGGGGTATTCCCTGGAGGCAAACTAAACTACATGTATAAATATAGAAAACCAGAAAGGGGAACAAAGCACAAAGTGTAAAGTGAAACGAGACGCAGTTCCATTTCTTTGGACTGACAAATTTCTAGGGAAAGGGCCACCCACACACACACACACATGCACACACGCAGAGACACTCCTAAAATAACAAAAGAAAGTGTTGAAATTTGATACATTTTTCCTGTTGATTGTGTCTAATTTATGAGCATATAAAACACACACACGAACGTACAAAATTATAATATTGCTATAAATATGAAATTTATGTTATATGATATAGCTAATATAAATATCTATAAATCTATAAATATGTATCTGGATATATTTTAAATGTCTTTAACTTTTTGTGCTTCTCTTTTATCGCGTGCCTGCTCCACATAAAAAACAAAAACATTTCTATGTGCTGCTTGATTTCATAAAAAAATAAATAAATAAAATCAAATCATACATAAACAGTCAAAGATGAGGATGAAAGATGTCCGGCAGGTGAGCAACTAATGCAACCAACAAAAAAAAAAAAAAGAAAACAACAAAAAACCATCAAATTTCTAACTGTTTTTTTTTTTAGTTTTTCCACCAAAGAAAAATTTCATGAAAATTAAACAAACATTTTTTGGTTGCGTTCAAATAAAACAAACATAAAAATTCAACAATTTCCATCTTGGTGCTAAAGCTATCACACACACACACACACACATACATACACACTCACGTGCAGTCTCTCTCTCACACACACACGCACATACATTGGAATTTTCATTGTTGGCCATTTTGTTTTTTTCATGGGCTTTTGCTATTGTTTCTCTGTGTACGCGCCTACGCATAATAATTTTCACATTTTCATTTCAACAACAAACAGGCAAAAAAGGAAGCAGCAGAAAATAAAATAATATGTATATGAAAAAAGCGAGAGCACAAGAAAAATGAAAATGCTGTCAAAATATTTTCACTTCCGCTGCGCTCCACCGCAAACTGTCAGCGAGGCGAAGCTTCAAGTGACATAATTTGAGTTTTTCGTTTTTCTGCACATTTATTTTATATTTTTGACGACTTTTTATTTATATTTATATATTTTTTTTTCGTCCTTTGCCATAGCTTTATTTTTTTTACGCTTTGGCTTTCAATTTGTGCTCCAGCTTTGACATTTTTGCGTCCGAGTGATTCGCCCCAAGCGAGCGGACTTTATCCCCAAACACTTGGCCATATCCATTTCAGTGCTTGGGGTTCGCCTTTAGCGCTTGCCAATAAATTTCGAATTCAAAACTTTTTACCTGCCTTTTTACCTGACATTTGACAGCTTGGCGCCTGCTTAATTTCGCCTGTTTTCCTTCTCTTCCTTTTAATGCTTATTTTGTGGCATACTTTGGGGCGCCTTCGCCACTCGCTTGTTTTGCGAGCCATAAACTTTTATTGTCACGCTTCTGTTGCTCCAGCAGCGGCTCAATTAGTATTTATATACATAAATAATGCATGCATAAAGCTTTTGCCAGTCTAAGTGCCCAAATGGGACAACTTTTGGTTAAGTGCTCTTGGGCGTGGGCGTGGCCTTGGCTTGACTTGTGTATCTGCAGTGCCTTTCTTTAAATTTGGTCTTCCCATTCAACTCTTTTATTTATTTTCAATTGATAAATTGCTTGTCTTATTTAATTATTTAGTTTTTGTTTTTTTTTTTTTTTTTTTACTTTCATTATGTTTATATTTTTATTATTTATATAAATGATATATTTATAACTTTACTAGTCAAAGATTTTCTGATTTTCAGTTTTTATTTTTCTGTCAACTTTATTTATTTAAAATTCAATTTATTTATTTATTTATTTATTTATTTTTTTTGTCTCTATGAGTGTTATTATTTTTTGCCAACTTATTTCAATATATATTTTACTATATATTTTAAATTCAATTTATGTGTTTTCAATTTTTTTTTTTTTTTTCGTTTTTACTTTTATGGAATTTTCCATCAGCCTCTATAAGTAATTAAATTAAAAAGCTATTTATAGCTAAGCTTTAAATTGGTAATTTTTATTTGTCCCCTGGCCAAGATTTTTATTTTTATTTATTATGTCAATTGAGACAGGTTGATCTAGAAGACCTGATTTAACTTTATTTTTACATAAATGTATTTGTTCGATATTATATATTATCTAACAACTGGTGTATGTACCTGTTTAATTAAAATAATTAAACACTTTTAATATGGCTTTGAGGTGCTTTCAAAAAAGCTTTTTTTTAGTTTGGTTTTAAATCAATTTTAATATTTAATTTCTATTTCTTTATACAAATCTGTTGACAAATATGTTATATAATAAAAAAAAAAAAAATAATAATTATAATAATATTGATTTAATTTATTTAATTAATTAATTAATTTATTTTTTTTTTTGAAAACTCTGTTAACTCTACTCTGACTTGTGCCACAGTTATTTAAAATATAATTTTGTTTACTAACCCACACACATATACTTACATACATAGACGATTACATTTATACTGTATTTATATCAAACTAACTTGACTGTGTCGTCTCTTCCCCCTCTCTCTTTCGCCCTTTGATCATATAGCACCCTCGACGCCGACAATTTTGCCAGCGGATTGCTCAGCGGAGAACAATTCTGTGACTGTTGCGTGGCAGCCACCGAGCCATTGCTTTGTCGAGGGATATGTCCTGGAGCTGGACGATGGCAGCGGCGGCGAGTTCAGGGTAAGTCAGCTCAACTTGACTGGCTTTAATGGGTATTCAACCATCGACATTTTACAGGAAGTTTATTGCGGCAAGGAAACAATTTGCACCGTTGACGGTCTCCACTTCAACTCCATGTACAATGCGCGCGTGAAGGCCTTCAACAGCGCCGGCGAGGGTGAATACTCGGAGCTGATTGGACTGCAAACAGCGGAAGGTGAGTGGCCCCTCCAGTCTTACCCCCCCTCGCTACTCGCCCACTATTCTCGCACTAGACTAGTACTAGCTTTTTCAATTAAACTCTCAGCTTCAAGCTATTGCCGCTCGCTGCTGGTTCTGCTGCTGGTGCTGGTTCTAGTTCTGGCTCTGGTTCTATTGCTGCAGCTACTTTGCCAACAACTCTTTTATAATTTAATCCTTTTCGGTCATGCGCCAAGCCCCCTTTGCTTTCCGCTGCCGTCTGTCGTGCTTTGCATGTCAAACAGCCATTGACCCCTTTAGCTGCGCCTGCCGGCCAGAGGCGGCTCCATTCGCAATCCAATTCTCACTTGATTGATGCATGCGCCACCTGACATACACAACCACTCCGCCCAATCACCCACTCCCCCTCTTGCCTAACCACATTGCAAATGAAACTGACGCTTGAAGTTATTTAATTTATAAAATTGCCAGCGCATTCCATGGCCATGGCGTTGTCCTGGCGTCTGCTTTATCCTTGGCATTTTATTAGTTGCCCCAACGTTAATTTGCAACTTTTAATTGATTATTGCTTGGAGGTTAACCCCGCGCTTCAAGTTCCCCCAGACTCTGGCAGCTCGGGCTCATGCGAATTGTTATTTTATAAAGTGCTTACATAGGGCGCGTACGCCTAAGTAATTAACGGTTAACCGTTGACGCTTAATGACGCGTAACACTCACTGCCTGGGCGTGTCCGAATCGGCAATGGGCAATGGGTGGGCTCTGCTAATTGAGCTGGCTTCCAAACATTAACCAAAACACCTCGAAAATATACAAGTCGTTGAGAAAGGGTTAGAATGAGGGAATGTTGTGAGAGATAGAGAGATAGAGAGAGAGAGAGAGAGAGAGAGAGAGAGAGAGAGAAATAGAAAATGACAATCATATAGATTAGTTTTAATTGCAGTAGCAAAGATCTGAGTATAGAAGTGTCTGGCTTTCTTCTGTTTCTTGGCAGCTAAGCACAATATTTTATTGTTATATGCAAAACATGTAATAAGAAAATAAGAGCTATGTTACGAGATATATATATTATTAGTAAAATATTATTTATTATTTATCAAAGCTCGCAAATCACTGTTGACAGCTTCTGAATCACTCAATCGGGTCTTTTACTCACACTCTCAGAAAGAACTCAGAGAGCAGCCGATTGCATCGGTACTTTAAGAAGTGTTTCTTTTTGTTTTGTTTCGCTCTGGCTGCTCTCTTTGGTTGAGTTAAAAGCAGCGACAAGTCTTTGGTGTATGTGATGGTATGTGTGCGTGGGTGTGTTCGCTAAGCGCATCAATGGCCTACATGATTTGAGTGTGTGCGTGTGAGTTTGCTCACTACTTAGCTTCATAGAGCGAACGTCAATCGTTTGACTCCCGAAACAAAGTTCGTCAAAAAGAGCGTCACACGAATAGTTCAACTCAAGGCGCTCGACAGAAAATAAATACGAAAAGCACCAAAGTCTATTGCTCAGAAGAAGATCAGTTGGGAGCGGAAACAGATCGCGCATAGAGCGTAAGGAGCCAAACAGTTTGATTTTCTTAGAAGATGAGATTTGATAAGAAAAATCAGATTTATCGACTGAGGCTTAGCGGTCATGCCAAAATCTGCAAAATAAAATCCAGCAGCTCAGCCATTATAGGGCTCATAATTTTAACCCTTGTTAACAATTTCCTTTTCATTCTAATATTCGCTTTAAGCGATCGATAAATAAATGAATAAATAAAACCCCGTAAGCCTCTAACTTCAGCTAAACAAATCAGCTTGAATTGCCTTAACTTAAGTCATTGCTCGATTTGATATTAATCTCAACTAGATTAGACTAGACTTATTTGTTTTCAATAAATGGCTTGTTATTAACGCCAAATCATATTGTGGCATCAACAAAGCGAAACAATAAACTTCAAGCTTGTTATTGTGGCTGGCTGCCTTTGGTGGCCAATAAAAAGGCAGTCAATGCAGGCAGCGCAACGTCATCGTCATCATCATCATCACCATCATCATCGTCATCGTCACCATAGTGGCAACTGCCTGCAGCTGGCTCGTCTGCCTTAGTTGGCTTTAGTGGCATTCCCCAAGCGCCTTGGCTTTGGCCACTTAATGCCCCACAACAATAAAAGTAAATTTAATAAAGTACTTCGACTCGAGCCCTGCTCGTGGCATACTTTGCGGCGCATAACAGCATAAACTATGGGCCACTGGCCACTGGCCACCGGCCACCGGCCACCGACTGCAACTTAGCCAAGTGCTGCAACTGAAGCCACTCCGCTGGTCAGCACGAGCCACTGGCCACCAACCACCAGGCAGCAGCCACCGGCCAGGAGACAGCCATCAGCTAGGCAGGAGGCCGCAGCTACTTGCCGCTAGCCACTCGCCAAGGCCACTTGAGCTTTGACAATAGAGAAAATTGCAGGCACATGCGGCACAGTGGTTCGAGGTCTGCGAAAAATTGTAAACTAGTTTTTATGTTTTATTTTGACTAATGTGGAAAAATGTTAATAGTGAAGATTATATAATCTTCGTCAATAACATTTATAGCTTATCTAACGACAATATGAAAATCGCGTCAAATCTCTATATTTTTTCTTCCTATGATTATATAAGATCGTTAAATGAGATATTAGATCATTATTAGAACTGAAATTTTTATTATGATTGATGCCATTCAAAATTAAGGTATTTACTTCCTATGATTATAAATTAACAACATAAAATAGATAAATTATAAACAATTTCAAAATTGACTGAATGAGATGATGAATAAATATATTATTTTAATTAATTTTTATTTTTACTTTAGTTTTATAATCATTATTACCCTTGTTTTTTTTTTTATTATTTAACTAAGCATTATTTATTCTAAGTAAATTAATATTTAGTAAATTAATTAATATCAAAAATTTTATTTTGCTCCACTGTCCTTAGCTATTGTTTGACATTTGCTAGCTTTAATTTCTCTTGTCAATTTTCGACCATAAAACCCACTGTAGTGTAAGCTAGTCAGCTCTGCACCAAGCTGCCACCTTGGAGACTGTTGTCTGCTTCAATATTCGCTTATTTTCCATTATATCATGTCTCTTTCTCTCTCTCACTCTATCTATCTCTTTATCTGTGCTTGCAGTGGCCTGGTTCACGTTTGATCCCGTGCTGAGCGGCGGAGCTGGCTCTGGACTAATCTTTAGCAAAAATAATGCCACCGTCTCTGTGGAGGGCTGGGAGCATCGTGTGGCCCTTGGATCTGTGGGCTTCTCGCGCGGCGTCCACTACTGGGAATTCACCATTGACAACTATACGGCGGACACGGATCCGGCATTCGGTGTGGCCCGCATCGATGTGGCCAGGAACAAAATGTTGGGTGAGTACAAATTGTCGAACTGCAGAGCTGTCGAGCTGCAGGTGCGGATGGGTGCGGGGCCACTTTTGGCATTTGAAATTCAATTAAAAAACGACACGCCCACTCGAGGCGCTGCAAAGCACTTGAAAAGCTTTCACAAACTTTGCGCCAGGCGCGAAAGAAGAACAAAGGAAACTATCCAAATGCAACGGAAATCGAAGCAACAAATGGATTTGCAGCGCCACCTAGCGTTGACAAAAGGCCAATCATATGCAGAAAACTTTGTAGCTAATAAATAAGTGACGCAAATACGACGACGAGTTGAGGGAGGGCAGCAGAAGGCGCAACGTTGCTGCTCTGGAAAAGAAACTTTTCCATTTCCATTTCACTCCGGCCAATATAATGGCAAATGGAAGGCGTCATTTCGATTGGTGGGCGTGACCAGAAGAACTTTTGCCATTTCTTGTTGCGTGTGCGTGAAAGTTTTCGGCAAGAACTTTGCAGTTGCCAAGGATCTAGAAACCATCCGAGGTGCCAACAAACACCCAAATACAAACACATATATAGAAGGAAGCGGGCCCAGACGCCTGGCAAGTAAATTGATTGAAAATGCGTTTCAAAGGAGGCGTGGCAAAGAAGGAAGTGGGAATTCGATAGGGTTATATGGGATTGTTGGACAGACAAAAGTAATTAAAAGTGCGACACTTCGAGTTTTGCGCGTGACAAAAGTTTATTTGTGGATTCGACTGGCCTCTTAAATTATTTGGTAGAAATTCTCAAAGTACTTTTCTATAGTTAAAGCTCTGCCTGCGCTCCATTAAGCGTTTGCGCTCGACTCCTGCAATTCGCAAGTTTTGAAATTAAATTTTCATATGCAAACGCTGAAGTTCGCTAACGAAATGCGCAACTTTGGCGCAGGTGGCGCCCCCAAGCGGCTGACATTGACACTAACAATGCAGTTGTTGCCAACTTCTTTTTACGAGCTGTTGCTGTTGTTGTTGTTGTCGTTGTTGTGCTGCTGCTGCAGTTGTCTTTTGGAATATAACAAAAGCAAGGTGAAAGCTGAAAATAAAATGGAAAAAACTGATGTCGCCTGAAGTCATTTGCAGTAGTAGATGGAAAAACATATTGAAGGAAGAATGAAAAGGAGGAGAGTGAAGAGAGAGAGAAAGTAGACTAAGCTAAAAGCACTGCTGTGAGTCTATATAAGAAGAATTATGAAGGATAATCAGAGTAAATTTATTTTCTCTATAAATATATTTGCAGTTATTATTGGCTGTTCTAGCGAAAAGTCTTATCAAAAATTTCAATAGGTTGCTCTAGGAGGACTTAAATTATAGGAGGATTTTATCATATACAATCAATTTGAACATCCTGGTAGATATAGTCCTTAGAGAATATTATCCTGGGAAAAATTGATTCTATAGGAGCTTGATGTATCCAGAATGAATGAAATTTCAGTACCTGACTCAGATAATATTAATAAATATATTAAAGTATAATAAAAATACATATGTATATGTATAAATCATTGTAAGGTTTTGTCACAGAGAACCACTTTGCATATCTTTAGAGAGTACTTTAAAGCTTGAGACAAATACCTGATATAGGAGTTTGATTTCTCCACAACCGAAGAAACGCCTTTGCCTTGCTCAAATATAAATTGATTAGACTATACATAGCTATCTATCTATCCTATCCACCCATCTTAAATACTTTCTCCACTATCTCCCATTCATTTCAGGCAAGGATGAAAAGTCGTTTGCCATGTACATTGATCGCCAGCGCTCGTGGTTCCAGCACAATTCCATACACGAGCGTCGCGTCGAGGGCGGCATTACCACGGGCAGCACAATTGGCGTGCTGCTGGATCTGGAGCGGCACACGCTCAGTTTCCTGGTGAACGAGATGCCGCAGGGCTCGGTGGCTTTCCGGGATCTCTATGGTGTCTTCTATCCAGCGGTGAGCATCAATCGCGGCGTCACCTTGACTATGCACACGGCTTTGGATGCGCCCAAAATGGATTATTTCTAGAGAGAGAAAGAGAGAGAGAGAGAGAGAGAGATGGGAGGAGTAGCGAATTGTGTACATATAGCTTGACATTTAGTAGTTATCGGTGTCTATATGCATATAAACTTATACTATGTAGCCTATAGCATAATCTATATACACTTACTCCACATCATTGTGCTTATTATATGAACGTAGTCTCGGGCAGAACTTAGCGACATATCTACAATCTATTCGTATCCCTATATAAAACTCAAGACAACGTTTCAAAAACGCTGCAAAAAAATACAAAAAAAAAAAAAAAAAAAAGTTTATATATAGTCAGCGTTGCTTGAATCAAATAATTATTCAAAATAATTGAAAACCAAATAAATGTAAAATACACTAAAATAAATATAATATATTAAAATTTTAAAGTTTCTTTTTTACAATATACAAAGCCAAAAATCAAGCACCGTGCAAAAAAAAAAAAAGGGAGAAAATAAATGAAATTTAAATGCATCAATCTAAAAATCAAACCAAAATAAACACACAGAAAAGATCCATTAGTAATTAGTTGAGATAGGAAACACATATACATAAAAATAAATATGTATCTTTGTGTATTTGTGTGTTTGCCGGAAATTTGTGCGTGTTAAATTGCAAGCCAAAAATTATGATAAATATAAAATATAAAAAAATAAAATAAAATAAAATAAAGGGCAAAAAAAAAAAAAAAAAAATCAGTTGAATGCATAATTATTTGCGTGCAAATAAAATAAAATTACAAATGCAGAAATAAAATATGATTAGCGAAATATGTGGTCTGGCCATGGCCACAAGTATTTAGTATTAAGACTGAATGCAAGTTTTTACAGGCAATCGAAATTTAAATTGAACCAAAATAGTAAAAAAAAAAATCAAAAAAACTAATAAAAAATAAAACATACTTTAAAGTTCTCAATGTTAAATGTGCAAATTAAAAAAAAAAAAAAAAAAACACACACAATTCGCTTAAAAAAAATTAATTACATTAATATTAATTAACATACTTATTATTAAGTTTCATGTAAATATCAACATAATCTATTTTATATATTTACATATATAAATATTTTCATTTAATGTAATTACTTCACAAACACGGGCTATGAATGTTTGTTTACTATAATTATAAATATTATTATTTTTTTGTGTGAGTATACTTAATATACATATATGCATAAATATTTGCTAGTTTTACGTGTGTAATATTTGAACATAAATCCCTTATTTATACCTTTCCATTTTAAGCATATACACAAATAAAATAAAACACTACAAAGCAACGACAAATTATCGTAAAATTAAAATCTCTATGCATGTTTAATATCTCTAGTTGTAATAATACTTATAATAATAATAAAACAATTCAGAACATGATAAAAACAAACAAACGAACAGCAACAAAAACAAATCATATTTTAATGGAATCAACAACAACAACAACAACAGCTGACACGAGTTTATTTATAAAGTCATATGGAAAATAAATAATAAATATTAAAATTGCAGATGCAAATTTGTGGAACAATTTATTGCGAAAGCGCCTATTGGACAAGTTGGAGTGCTAGCGGGGCCAGTAAATTTGTGAAATATTTCTATTTGTATAATCGACGTGTTTGCCAAAAGATCTAAAGATCTAATTAAAATTCAGCATACTCATATATGTGAAACGAAATGCTGCCTGGATATTTGAAAATTAAAATTGGCCAATTAGAACATATTTTCATATTTATGTTCCATATAAGCGTTAAATATGAAATGTAGTTGAGATTAGAATTAGCTAAATATGCCAAAATGAGCGCAATGGCAATGGCGTCACTTGAGTGGGAGCATTTGTATTTTATAGTATAACTCAATGAGAGCTTTGAAATATGTGGCTGGTGGACAGGGGTAGTCCAAAAGTCTCATCATGAAATGCTCTTCATTTATAAAGAAGCTGTGCTAGGCCAGAGGAATGAAGCGGCTTTCGTTGACAAACAGAAGCTGCATGCCTGGACAATTGATCTATTACTTAAGGCATTCTCTCTATGCAACAAATTTGATACTTCTAAGGGAAGTTACAATTTGATATTATTATTATTATTATTATATGTAGTTGAATTCGAATCTTTTCTGCTTAAATATTAGTGTGTGGGTTTATAAAGTACATAATCCATAGTAGTACTAGTGAAAAAATACATTAACCTATAACTAAATACCTAGGCTATAAATTTATGTAGGGATAATTTGATTCTAGACATTTACTAAAGAAAGTTAGCTATAGATCCAATTAGTGAGTATATTGTCTACCATTTCGATAATAAAGAGTTCCAGATATACGTATATATGTATAATTATGCAACCATGACGACAATGCCAAATCGGAAATACCTATGTTCATTTAGAGTAGGTAGATGATGATATTAGACAAACATAATAGCTTCTCGCATCATTTGTCAGCAAATGACCAAATTAATTAAATAATTCACAATTCAAATTTATGGGATTAATTCAGGTTCAAATGGTTGCGATACAAATACATTAGAAAGCTGAACTTTAATTCATCAATAAATTTAGAGGACGAGAGAGAGAGAGAGAGAGAGAAGAATGAGTAAAGTACATTTTTCACATGGAATAAATGTGACTGAAAAAAATATCAAGGCAAGTATGAAGGGAATAAATATAAATGATTTATAGATTCTATATATAATTGGTACATTTTATTGAGGGTATATTACTGAATAGGTCTCTAAACGCATATGCTAAATCCATCAAATTCAACCTTTAGTTAGTTAATAAATAAAAACTCAGTTTGAGTTAATCTTTAGCGGTTTGTTGGTTTTTCTACGATGGCTTTCCTGCTGGTATTTTAATAGTAATACTAATATGGATGTTTGAACTCTATGCATAAAGCAGAGGCAAGGCTGCAAAGCAGCTCCGACAACCACGTGCCACATCCGCATTAACAACAACAACAGCAACCACACTGCATTGGAGACTGTTTTTGGGGAGTCGGTGAACGCAACGAGGCGCGAAAACATTTACTCAACACTTAGCGTCAGTTGGCAGCTTGGGTTGTTGCAAGTTTCTTGTGTGGCAGGCTGGCTGGCAGGACGCTAGAGGGGGGAGCCTGCGACGTGAGGCGAAAGTTTTATGATTTATGAAGCGAACGAGCGATGCTGTAAAGCAGCTGCTGTACCAGGGCCACCTGCCAACTGCGGCGTTTCGGACGCAACATGGTGGACGACGCGACGGAAACGGATGTGGCCGACACCCCAGAGTTGCTTTGGGGCAGAGTCTGCTGCTGCAGCAGCATTAAATCTCATGCCCGGATACAAAAATTACACTTTAATGCATTTCCATTCACACCCACACGCACACACACATAGACAAGAACAACTAAAATAGCAAACAATGCATAGCGAAAATAATAAAAAGAAAGTTGCTTCGTGGTTTTTCGCGCTGTGCTCATTAAAATTTCGCTCAAAGCTAAAGTTTCTGTATGCACAATGCAAAATAAACAAACACACACACACACACACACTCACACACACACACACATGTGGCGGGTAAACTAAATGTCGGCCTTTGCATTTGACACATGCAACTTTCTAAGCGTTTTCTATTGCTGCTGTTGTTGTCGCTGCCAGTCGCGGTCTACAGCCAAGTGAGTAATTTATAAAAGTGTCTCAGCCCAGCCAGTGGGCGTGGCAGTGGGCGTGCTCAGTGTGAATGGAATGCCACATACAACAGCGGCAAAAATTGCACATTGTTGACGACACATTTCGTGTGCCAGCTGACAGCAAGTCAAGCTACAACAACAACAACAACAACAGCAACAATAACAAAACAACAACAACTGTGCATCGCATAACAACAGGAATTAGAACAAGAAACCGTCAACACATTCAGCAATTGGCACAATGAACTTTTCGCATGCGTGAAGTTTTTTTTTTCTTTTTTTTAGCTAATGCTCAGAAAATCCACAAGACGGCGAAAGTTTAGAATTCTGGAAAAGAAAATAAACACAAAAGGCTGCCAAACATTAGGGATAGCGGGCAAAGGCAGGATATATTAGAGTCAAGTGGATGCAGTTGGCTGAAAATAATGGGAATGAGTACCTTGGAGTCTTACTTATGTATATATGTATATATATATTAATAGTCCAGAGATTGATCCCATTGCGATACACAGAAAACTCATTTCATAGCTTAGTCGTCAAAAATGTAATTTATGAGTCTGTTAAGAGAGTATGAAAGAAAGCCCTCGGTGTGCTCAGTCGTTTGCTCAGTCGTTTGCTCAGTCGTCTGTGCAGTTTCCGTCGTCGTGCTGTCAGTGTCTTCCGGACTTAAACTTGTTCCATTCTGTGCGCCAATCGCTTCATAGAGCTGCATGACCTCCAGCATGCGAGGCTGGGCCAGGCGCCTAGTGCTGATGCCCCAGACTATGTCGATGTGATTCCATTTCTTGTATGGAAACAGGTTATTCTCAACCACGTGGGGCAGTCGCTTGATCAGACGCTTGACGTCCTTCACAGCAGACAAATAATCATTCTGTGTATAATAGAGAGCGACAGGAGCAGTTATTTTTTCCAAAGGATAATCCGGGGGTTTGCTTCGTCCATAAATGCGCTGGTTCTCCTGCGCATTATGATCGTATGAACAGAAACGATCGGACTTATGCAGCTGTAAGTAATGGAGGAACTGATTAGAGTTTGCTCCTGCAGGCACATGGGTCAGAATTGCTGGTAACATGGTCTAAAAAGAGGGATGATTAGGTGAGGCTGACAAATGATAGCTTTTTCGTAACATGCCATATTCATTTCCGCTGGATCCTTTCCAATCAACCTCCATAAGTAAAACATACAGATCTCCACAACAGACTTCGATAGCATGCAGATACTAAAATCCTTATAGTATGGCAATATTTCCTGTCCTTCTCCAATCAAAGGGAGGACCTTTTGTCCGACGCCTATCAAAGGGCTTTGCATATTCGTCATAAAGGCCACTGGCGCCAACGCGCTCATCACATGGATCTTCGCATTGTACTCCGGCCGAGTGGAGGCCATCACGAAGAAGGAGGTCGTGCCCTGGGAATGCCCAAAGTAACTCAGCTTCTGATAGCCCGTTTTAGATAGCACCGCATCGATTAGGGCG